AACACAACATTGAATTTTCAGTTTTGCATTCCTGTTATACCTAAATTCTAACCCAAAGTAAGCAACTGAGGACTTGTTGAATGCCTTTTGAAAAATGATGATGGCTATTCTGTCCTAATAGTGAAAAATAATAGAAATCAAGAAAACAATCAAATATAGAAAAGTATAATGAAATAAGCTCAAATCACCCAAATTCCCACCACCCACAGACAAACTCTATTCTTATTTTGTTGAACATTCTTTTACATGTTCCTTCAAATGGTACAACTTGACATACCCATGCAACTACTTGCACACTCACACATTACTGTGGTGTTCCTTTGCACCTTTCAGAGCATAATAAATTCGGTCCAGTTGGCCATGAACATTCAAACATCCAAGCTCCATATGCTGGTGACAGCAGGAAGTCAAACCGGTGGCCCAGCTGCTCTCTCCAAGGTTTTTACCACCTTTTTTCAGACACACAGGCCCTTACAGGTGTCTTAGGTGGGGTGCAGTGTCCAGATCCCCTTGGACCTGTATTAATCCACCTACTACAGGGGAAAAGACTTGAATGACAGAGCATAAGCTGGCCTCAGTGAGTCATTTCCCCAATGTGGGTCAAGTTCACAACTCCACAGCATCCACAGGGGAAAGGAAAGGACAGGAGAAAGGAAAAGACAAAGCCCATATTCCTCCTCGAGCAGGGAAGGCGCCAGGTCAACCACCCAGGTCCCTTCAGTGCAGGCTTCCCCACTGCCTGCTAGCAGTCCGTGCCAGGCCGTCCCAGGGATTTGGAAGGACTGTGCTACACCATTGTTCCCTCCACCTCCGCAACCATTCTTCCCTGGTGAGCAATGCAAGAGGTTCCTTGCATCCTTCCCCAGGACAATGGGGCGACTCACCCTCCCCTGCCATCCCCAGAGATACCAGCATGGACATTCCACGGCGACTCTCTGTCCTGGCCTGTCTATGAGGTAGACTTAGGGAGAGAAAAACATGAATTCTACCTCCAGTGGGGGCCCTGCCAGGCACGCTCACCCCCACCCTGCCAGGCACGCACATTGTTTTACTTCAGTGGAAGGAATTACACCATGCCTTCTCTGTGCTATGCTTTCAAAAAAAAAAAAATTAAAAAAAAAACAAAACTTCATCAGTATGTGGTGAATAGCTTTCTATGGCATGATATTTTTGAGAAATTGGTTTGATCACAAGACAAGTAATTATAATTTTATTTATTGATTGATTGATTGATTGCTGCACAGGAGATGGAACCCAGGGTGTCTCACACATACTAGGAAAGCTCTGAGCTACAGCCACAGTTCTTTGTTTTCTTGGTTTTCTATTTGGTACCAGAGACATCCCAGTCATTTTTGTCTTTTAATTAGAGATAGGGCCTCACTAAGTTGCTGAGGCTGGTTGTGAACTCACCATCCTCCTGCCTCAGCCTCCTGAGCCACTGGGATTACAGGTGTGCGCCACAATGCCTGGCGCTATCTCCAGTTCTTTATATCTTTTATTTTAAGACAGGGTCTTGGAAGTTGTCCAGGCTAGCCTTGAATTTCTGGTCCTCCTGCCTCAGGCTCCTGTGTTGCTGGGATCCTAGCAATTTTCAGAATTTCATCAGTAATTGTCTATGAGCTTACCTCCCAGATTCAAACTCTACCAGCAAAAGTTTTGTGCTTATTGAAGAGAATATATGGAGCTTAATTAAAAAAAATTTTTTTTGTAGTTGTATATGGACAGCATGCCTTTATTTTACTTGTTTATTTTTATGCAGTACTAAGGATTGAACCCAGTGCCTCACATATACTAGGCAAATGCTCTGCCACTGAGTTACAACCCCATGCCTGGAGCTTAATTTTTAACTCAAGGATCACGGCCCTGTCTAATGCGTAATTGTTTCTAAGCTGGTTTCCACCAAGCTGTGCCTTTTGGACAGAATTGGTATGAAGTGGGGCTGGAGGCAAGGGGCAAGTTGGGGATGAGAAGTGTATAGAGTCTCAGGGATAGAAGAGACTTGCCAAATTGTCACCTAGCCTTCGCTTGCAATTCTCTAGTGACAGGGAACCTACCACTCTACCAAGACGGCAATTACCCCACTTCATCCTGCTGGTGGCACTGGGAGTAGCAAACCCATTCATCCTTGGATGTCTCCACTGCTTTAAGTCTTTCCTCTGTAGATCTAGACTCTTTCTTCCTGAAGGTTCCAACTGTACCAATCAGAGCTCTTTCTTAGTCACTCTGCAGGAAGTGGAGGCCCTCTCTCTTCTCCAGCTCACCTCACTTTCCTACACGGGGTTTCCCTTCTCTTGACCCACACACCTCGGAGGACACAGAACCCACCAGGTGACAGACCCTCTCATCTGCATCTCCCAACAGGAGCAGCCTCTGCTCCCTTCCCAGGAAGCCTGCTTGTGTGCTGAGCCAGAGGCCATCAACCCGTCTCTCCTGGGAGTGCACAGACGTCACGGCTGCTTCTCCATAGTCCAGAACTTCACGCAGAGGTTCAGAGACGTAAAGTGCTCAGAACTCCCAAGAGAGGGTGTGGGCAGGAAAGACACCATTTCCAAAATGTCGGAGGTGGATTTATGGAGATGGAGTCGTGAATGGCTGCCATTTATTTAGCTACACGTTTGAGAGAGTTTGATGTGGGGACGCCTCTCTCCTGTCTCCATGTCTCTTCAGTTCCTTGTCTGCGCCTCTCACAATAGACTTTCGGTCGACAAGCCTGAAGTTGTGGAGTTGATTCGGGAGCTCAGCCGGGTTTCTGTAAGAGCTCTTGGGTATTTGAAATGGTGGGTTTCTCCACAACTCCAACTGGGAGATTTGCTCTTCTGTCAAAGAACCTTTGATCTTCATACAGCAGCGTAACTCAAGTTTCACAGGCTCCTGTAGATTTTCCGCTATGGTTCTGTTGGATTGGCTTTACTTGTACTCTGGGCTCTGATGGTGCACTTGGGAGTAGCAAACCCAGCTGTCGTGCAGGGGAGGGGGTGGGGGGTTCTACCCTCCCTGCCCACCCCGCCCGCCTCGATTGTGTTGTGCACAAGGATGGAATCCATCCTCTTGGGCAGGAAGGAAGGGGATGACATTAATGGCGAGTCTGCTGTGTGTCAGGCTCCTGCACTGTAACTCTTAATAATGTCCCAGGCAGATTGGGCAGTTGCTCTGAAGCCGGCCCCAGACTGAATCCGCACAGCCTCCTCTCACTTCCCTCTCACAGCAGATCTGGGAGGCGGGCACCGTGTCCACTCCTTTCTACAGAGGAGGAAAGTGAGTTCATCAGGTTAACTCAGGGGAACCCCCCTGAGGCCCCTGGGAGGTGGGAAGCAGGGGGGTAGGTCCGGGCCCAGGTTGACTCCCAGAGCCCTGCGCAGGCCACCACCAGGACGGCGGCACAGACAGCGGCCGTGGTGATGCAGCCAGCAGATGATTTATTCTCATTTACGGAGGAGCAGAGTGCCACCCAGAGTGCCACCATGAGATAACTTGGGCCAAGCCTCACAGCTAGGGAGCCACAAAGGCAGGAGGAAGAGCCAGGCCTGCCGACCTCTGGGGAACTCTTTCCTTAAAAGAGACAAAGCAAGGGGGCAAGGAATTTTTTTTTTCCCTCCTAGTAGACTGGGAGTCTTAAGGCCAGGGACAATGTCTGATTCAGCACCCACACCCTGAGAGGACCCTAACAGGTCCCTCACAGGATGGCACGATTTGTGTGCTGGAGGGAACCCTGTGCCGGGGCAGGCAGACACTGCATGTGGCTGACCAAGGATGGTGGACAAAGTCTGTGGAGGGCCATCGGGGTGGCCACAGAAGGGAAGCTCTGAGCAATCAAGGGCAGGGCCAGGGTGGTCCTGGGGACAGGGCATGGCTGGCCACTGGAGGGGTTCTCGGCAGGCCTGAGAGCTGTGGCTCCTTTGTGGGGGTTGCTGCCTCTCAGGGGCCCCTCATATCTTCTCTGAACATTCTTTGCAGGCACCTAGGAAACCTGGACACTCAAACCCTGCCCAGAGGAGGCATGCTCTCTTGGAAGAGCCATACAGCAAGAAGCTGAACTAGAAAACACGCAAGATAAGCACAGTGCCCTGTGAGGAAGGAAGTGGGGAACATGGTAGGAAATACTGAGGCCGGGAAAGGCTTCTCCCAGAAGTGACATTTGAGCATAGAACAGGGGCAGGGGAAAGAGCCACTCATGATTGGCTCTGGGAGGAGAGTACCTTGAGCAGAGAGCACTGTTTGTGCAAGGGCCCTGAGGCTTGAAAAATGCTAAGACATCTGTAGAAGGCCAAGGTGGCCAAAGCATGGTGTGAAAGGGATCTAGGGTGAGATATGGTCATTACTCAGGAAAGAGACCCAGCCAGGCACCCCTGGATTCAGGACCCTTTCCTGTCTGTGGCAGCCTCCCTCTCTGGGACACTGGGCCTCCTTTGCATGATGATAAAGTAGCCACCTGGAGTTTCAGAGACGATGTTTCCTTCCCCCACGGTCTTCCATGCCCCACCATTCCCATCACCCCTGGTCCCCAGGAGCCAGGCTTGGTGTCTTCCTCACTGGGGATTCCCAGCAAACCTCAGAACTCCCCCTGCAGTTCTGGGCACAGGGGCCAGGGAAAGGAAGGAAATTCTCACACATAGCTTTCTCCCAGGGAATTTGCTCATGTTCCCAGGCTGACAACTGGCAGCCTTCAGAACCTCATCCCCCACCCCTTCCTCCTCCTCTTCTCTCTACCTCCCTCTTTCCCCTGCCCCCCTTCTCAAGCTTAATGACTTCCACATGGGCCTCCAGCGGCTTGAGCCAAGCCCTCAGCATTGTCTGAAATCTCCAAATTTAGAAGAAATATGAAAATTGTCAACCACTCCTTCCTTAGGGGGTAAAAGCAACATTCAGCACCAGGGGCAGGTCAAGGCGAGGCAGTCACATGGCTGGACGCTGGGCCAATGGGGGCCCTGGGAGGACTCAGGCCCCGCCTCACCCCAACACCAGGCTCGCCTCTTCAGCTCATATAAGGTAAAAGGCAGATCGGCCTCCGCGGCCAGGGAACTGCGGGCAAGGGGCTGAGGGGAGGGGGATCCAGTGCCAGTCGCTTAAAAATGCCCCTGTGGTAGTAAGGGGTGCCAGAGGCCGGGTCAAGTTAGTTGAGAAGCAGTGACACCCCCCACCAGTCCCCAAACAGGCTGACCCCATCTCTAGGCCCCAAGGAGCCACACCTGGACCAGACTGCGGGACAGGTAAGAATCGGCAGCAGAGATGGGGGCCATGACGGGACCTCTGTGGCATCCTCCCTAGGAGGAGGCTGTATTTAGGGTGCTCCTCCTTGCTCTCTTTCTAAGCCCTCCGCCTCCCTCTCGGAGCCTCAGTTTACCCATCTGCACAGGGCCTGGTCTCGATGATCTCTCAGAGTCCGCCCAGCTCCACCCGGCTCTAATCCGTGGTCCTTTGCTCCTGGGACCCGTCGTGGCTGCAGTTAAATGGGAAAGGAGGAGAGGATGGAGTAGACAGAGTGACTGCCCTGCTGTCCCAAGCTTCACCTCAAGCCCAAGTCTGGGTCCGTCTCCCCGGCTTCTTTGTAGACAGTGCTCTTCTTTGTTGTATGAGGTTTTGACTTCACAGTTCCCAGAGCCTGGGGCTCCTCCAGATAATAGTCTGAAGAAACAAAGCTGGGGAAGAAGCCGTGAGCTCAGGCTCTGGCAGGGAGGCGCAGGGTCCGGCAGGAGGAGCGGCCGGCTCCGCTCGGAGCCGTGGGGAAAGACACTGGCTGTGGGGACGGATGAGCCCAGGGCTCCAGCCTTAGCTTGGCCCTCAGTGCCCAACTGTGTGGCCCTGAGCAAGCACCCTTCTGTCTCTGGGCCAGTTTCCCCATCTGTACGAGGAAGCCACGGGGCAAAATGGTCTCTACAGGATGTGACTTCTGAGACATTTGAGCCTGAGGGGAGCTGGTGTTGGAAAGTTCTCTGAGCAAAGTCTGAATTTGACTATGGTCTTGGAGCCCAAGCAGATGCCCAAAGCCCATGGGAGCTTTTGAAGGCCGAGCCTGACATGATGGAAAGTGGCTGAGAGGTGTCTGGCTGCAGCCTCTAGGGCCAAGGGGCTAATCTCTGGATTTAGCGATACAGGAGTGCAGGACCTCAGGGCCGGATGTGGGGAAAACCATGGAGGGCTTCAGGGGATAAAGTAGTGGGGCCAGGACTCTCGGATGAAGGCTGAAATCCTGTGATGGGCTCCGTGGGAGGCTGGGCTGAGCAGAGGCTTAGGACTGGGACCCAGGGTCACACAGGCGACATCCAGGCGGGCTCCTCAGATCACATACTGGCCACATCCAGGCCCAAATGCAGCACAGTCCTCCTGCATCAGGGTGTCTAGCACCCTCACCTTCTTACTTCTGGCCTTATGTAACTGTCCTGAAGGAGGCTCTGGAATCCAGTTGAATGGGTCCAATTCTGGCTTGTTTACCTATTAGAAGAGTAACCCTGGGCAAGCCACTTGCCATCTCTGAGCCTCATATTGTTCCTCTGTGAAATGGGTGCAGTCCTGGTTCTGACCTCACATGGCTGTTAGGAGCAGTGAAGGACGTTTGCCCCTAAGGAGCAGGGACCGGTGTGACAGTACAGTTAGACCCCATTCCTTTTACAGAGCAAGGTAACGTTAGCTATGTTTACACAGAAGAGGGTAAGAGCCAGGCAGGGAGTATCCAGAGCTGCTCAAGAGAGGCCAGGCTCAGGGAGGAGGCAAGATGGATATGAAATCAGAGGTGAGGGGCCAAGATCCAGCCTGAGGTCCTTAAGGGCTGTGGGGCCTACTTGCTTGTATGCATAAGGTGTTGTGTGGGTCAGGGGTCTCCCAGGTGCAGGGGTCTGAGCCACTGCATGGTCATCTGCTGATGTGTGTCAGGTAGCCTGGGGATCTTTAGTGCAGGCTCCCAAGCATTCCTAGGTTTGGGGAAGTTTTAGGAACGCTGGACTATAAGCAGACTGGGACCCTCCCGGAGAGCTGTGAAGCCACAGAGCGGAAACTTAGTTCTAGGCCATGCAGCGAGCTTATGGCTGAGTTGGAACAGGACCTGCATCTCTGCCCAACTATGGGCTCCTTAAGGTGGTACAAATAAGGACAATTACATTGCTTTCATTTGTGGAGTGCTTACAAGGTCTAGTAACTACCTAACACCATTATATAAAAGAATGAATTCAATCCTCAAAAGACCCTGTGAGCTAGAAGCAAGTGTTCCTGATGCAAAGACTAGACACCAGAGGCACAGAAAAGTAGCTTAATAAATGGTGAAACTTGCAATCTGTGTGTGCACTGGCTGCCCCAAGCTGCTGTCCCCCCCACCCCAATCCCCAGGAGTCTCTAACCTCCTGCCCTAACCCTTGACCACCCCAACATTCCTGAGAAACCTCCCATCTGCCTTGTAGAAGAACAGAATATGTATGGAGGACTTCCCAGGAGACAAGTACTGGGCAGAATCACTTGAATTGTCATTTAGTTCTCCCAGGATGACTGTGAGGCAGGAAGCAGCATGATCCCATCCTCCCCAGTTTATAGAAAAAGAAAACACTGCAGCTCACCTGAGGCCATGCAGCTAGAAAGTGGTCCAGGGGGATCTGACCCCAGCCTATGTGGTCTAACCACACACTCTCAGCCCCTCTGTGAGCTAAAAGGAGGAATCCATCTTGAGGACACTGAAGCAAGGAGGAGCTGCGCCAGGGCTTGACCCAAGTCCCCTGGTTCTCAGGCCCCTGTTCTCCCTTCAGCCACACTGCAGCCCCTGGAGAGAGAGGAGTCGAGTCAGCCCTTTCTGGAGAAGAGCAAACATAAAGCCCTGCAGAATAGGAAGTTCTAGGCCGCGGCCACCACTGACCCATGTGGCTGTGCCAAACTCCCTGGGTGAGCCTCAGGGGCTCCCTAGATGGTCTCTGAGGTCCTCACTGCTGAGCTGTGCTGGGGCCCTGCCTCCTTCTGCAATTCTGCCATTAGACAGTCCCGGGGGCTCAGGGCCTTGGGCTGGTTCAGAGCCACAATAAAGGCTATTTCCAGTGGAATGACCAGGTTTCTTGAAGTATGTGTGTTGCACACTTTATTTATACCATATGCATTGAACTTGTCTAGTAAACAATGAAAGGGATGGGGCTGGATGTACTTCAGTGGTAGAATGCTTGCCTAGCATGCAAGAGGCTCAGGGTTCCAAACCCAACACCACAAGAAAAAAAAAAAAGGAAAGAAGGAATGGAAATTAAACTGTGTGTGTTCTGCATGATGCTGTGCTCTTGTCCGTGTGCATATCTAGATGCAGAGCTCTGGGAATCACCGGCCCCAGAGTGGGAGTGGGCATTGCCCATGTGGCCTTCCCTAGCCCACCAGAATACATTTGCTGCCATCCAATCAGAGGTACCCAGGGGATGGAGCTGCAGGAATTTGGGGGAAAGAGTCCACCGTGGCTGCCGCCTGCTAACAGCCTGTCTAGACAGGCCCCACAGGGCTCCGGTTCTCACCACACGTTGTAAGAGCACCAAGGCCCATCCCCTCCCTGCTTACAAAAGAGGCTTCTTGGCGGCAATGCTTCACCATCGAGACCTTTTCTCCAATTCAAAACATGCCTTAATGCGCAGCAAGGATCCCCCACTCTCCTGGGCCCCCAGAGCCCAGCTTATTCAGCCCCTTTTTGTTTAGCTGAAGAGACCAGGGGCTGTTGTGGGTTGGGGAATCCTGTGTCCACCAGATGAGTGAAGAGGGCAGAGGGGAGTCAGCGAGCTCTGAAGGGGGGCTAAGATGCAGTCGGCGCCATCCAGGACGTAGGGTTCCATCCTGCCTCTGCCTTGAAGCCGCTGTGGGACCTTAGGCCACCTGAGCTCTCTGTGCCTCAGTTGCCTCATCTGTAAAATAGAGATGATAAGGCGACCTGTCTGGCTAGCTTACTGAGTGGTTTGGATTAAATGAGATGAAACTTGTGAAACCCTTAGAACAACGATTGGCACAGTCGGCCCTCATCAGCTTGGGCTGCCCCTCCCCCAGGTTATTGGAGACTTGAAGGGACAGCAGGTTAGACCAAGACTGGGGGAAGCCACCCCACCCTGGCACCTCCCCAAAAGTCCTCATCAGCCACAAGCCAAGGCTTCTCCTTAAAGACCCCTCCCAGGCCCAAGCTGCGCTTCCATTGCGTGAGACCCACCGGCTTAACAGGTGCTCTAGCCAGGCACAGGGGCATACCCCGCAATGCCAAGGACTCCAAAGGCTGAGGCAGGAGGATGGCAAGTTTGAGGAAGGCCTCAGCAATCTAGGGAGGATCTCAACAACTGAAGGAAACCCAGTCTCAAAATAGAAAGGGCTGGGAATGTAGCTCAGTGGTAAAGCACCCCTGGATCCATCCCTGGTACCCAAACAAAACAAAACTGCTCCACTGCCACTAGCTGTCACCCATCCTCTCCTCCTCCTCTTCCTCCAGGGAAATGAGGATGGGAGAAAGTGTCCAGAATGAGGCTGCTGGCCTTGGATGGCATCTACAGAGGCTATGACACTGTAGCTGCACGGCTGGGCTTAGAGGCCTCTGGTCAGCCTTCTCAGGCCTGCTAGGCCTCAAGCATGTGGCCCACTGTGCTAAGACCTGGCTAAGGCCCTGCGACCAGCACACTGGGGGTGCACACCCACCCACTGATTCCCAGTGTTGGTGATGGAAAGGAGACAGTTCAGGTGAAGGTGGTGGGTAGCAAGGGCGTGCTCTTGACAGACAAACAGAAGGAGAGAGAGCTCTGGGTGCAGGGGTACAGAGGACTGTGAGCATCTTCAGAAGATAGAAGCCCATCTGGCTGGAGCTGAGGGTTGATCTAGAAGCTCAGCGAGGGAGGGGACTGGCAAAGTGGAGAGGGCCTGAGCTGCTGAGTGGCTTTGGCATCAAAACCACAGCCACACAGGAGTTGAGAAAGCCCTCTTTGGTATCTGTCCATCCCTTTCTTTAACCTGTTTGTCTCCTTCTCCCAAAACACTGTCAGACCAAGAACCCCAGGGCAGGAGAGAGACCTGGGAATCTGGGCATCAAGTAATTCTCCAATGTCAGACAACAGGGAGAAGAGACTTCATGGTGGGATTAGGAGGGACAAGAAGCCTAAGAGCTGCAGTCACCATTTGCAGACCTCTCCAGAACCTTCTGAGGAGCAGGAACTTCTTTGCTGCTCCAGAAGATAGGGTACAAAGCCCTATAAGGACAGATGGCAGCAAGATACTAGGAAGGAGTCTCCAG